TTAATAGCCTATTTACAAATACAAACATTAACACGGGGAATCTAGAGTCTGCAGTGCTCATTTTGGGAAAGCAAATATATTAGACACAGCGTAGCGTTCAGACCATACCTTTGCTTGTTACAACTGCTGGACAGAACAGGTTTAAAAAAAATCTGGTAAATATTTCATGGTTCTATCATTTTGCATTATTTTAACTCTATTTTATAGTTTGGCATCTGAGTTATGTGTAGTAGTTTCTTGGTCAAGTCACAGTTATTTTCACTGTAGTTCCTGACTTCTCCTTTAGGTCATTAGGTCTCACTTCTATTCTTTGTTCTTGTCATTTCTAATATTCATATTTGTGGATTTTCTTTGTTTCAGTTCTCAGGTTCTGTTTATTTCCTTGTGTCATTCTGCCTCCCCTTTGCCTTGTGAAGTCTCAATCACATTTTTTGTTATTTTTATTTCATGTGTTTCATGTTTAGCTTTGCTTCCCCGGTTTTGTCTTTCTTAACTGTTACCAGCTGTTTTTCCACTGGCTTCCTGACCACTTGTTATCCCATACTTGTATTTATTGTTTCACGTTCCCTTTGTTTTTTGTTATGTCCTCCCTCATGTTGTGAACTCCATGCATCTGTATCGATTCCACACATCTCAGTAGTGATGGCAGAGATAGAACATTATTTTGAAACATTTTAAACACATCACTTATTACATATGGTGACCAAATAAATGTGATTTAAAAACATTGCACTCAATAAACTGCAATGTTTTTGTGTGTCTTGTGTCTTTTTGTCTCTAACCTTTGTGTCGGTTTATAGTATTATTTCTATGGATGGATATTTTATTTGAACCAGTCAGTATTTGCATGGGGCTCTTCTATATATTTGAGTATTTTTTATTAAGAAAGACAATCTGTTCAACAGTACTCAAGCTGAGAAGGTTTCATGTCTTGCACTCTCCTGCTTTGGAGAATATTCTTTCACAGGGGGACTGATGTGGCTGGAGTGGAAAGCTATGTCTTGACCAGGTGGAATAGATGAGAGAATATGGTGGCATGCTGGGTTCAGTAATCTAGAGGGTTATCTCCTCTTGGTAGATATGAGGCTGAGGGATAGCGCTGAACCTCAACAGAAGCATCAGCAGTAAGACTCTGTTTTTGGTTGGTTTCATCTACCCTGCAGTCAAAAACGTCCCACGGCCTCTCTTGATGATGTTCACTTGCCTCTTGTACTATAGTGGCTGATTTTGATGGTACACAAGCACTTGTTTGCGCTTGAGAAGTTGACTGTTTCTTGGTCAGCACTGTTGAAAGGAGTCAAAGTTGTTTTCAGGGAGGACAAGGCTGCTGCAGCTCGTTCACAGGCGCTGAAACTTATTTAATAATAATAATAATAATGGATTGGATTTATATAGCACTTTTCAAGGCACCCAAAGCGCTTTACAATGCCACTATTCATTCACTCTCGCATTCACACACTGGTGCAGGCAAGCTACGGTTGTAGCCACAGCTGCCCTGGGGCAGACTGACAGATGTGCTGTTCCATCTAGTCTCAACTTCCTGTAGGAGGGTTTCTTAAATGGTTTTTTTTCACAAACAAATTCAGTGTGTGAGCAAAATAAGGCATGTGTCACACTTGTAAAAGTTGTGCACAGGCTATCATGTTGAGCACATCATCAGTGATTTAACATGTAACCTCGTTCTGTATCCCCCCATGAATGCAGAAGAACAACCTTGGCTTCCTTCAAATGCTCAGTGGCGTGCATCACCAAATATGTTAATTGAGGTCCACATATACACTACCAGCCAAACAATTTAGAACACCCCAGTTTTTCAAGTAGGGGTGACGTGGTAGTGCAAGTGGCCCCCGGGCCTCAAGTTTGAGACTCCTGATGTAGAGGAAGTGGCTGATGATTGTGCCAGTAGTCAGTATCTGTAACCAGTCTTGTCAGGGGTGTCACTTATGCTCAGGCCTATGCAGAACAGCAGTGGGGACTGAGCATCTCCTGGGTAAATCTAACACTTGGTGATGACTTGTGCTATTGTGCTAACTCGTGTTTTTCGCCACATCCCCACTGATTTCCTGATGAAGGATCTTAAGGGCTTGTTGATCTTATGCAGTTCTAGACACTCCAGAGTTCATGCGTAAGTCAGACTTTCTTGTAAACAATCCAAGAAATGTTTTGCCCCTCTGTTTTTTCTGTTAATTCCTTTTTGTGCCCCGCTCATGTGTTGAGTCATATGCCTATTTATCTTAGCCACTATGATGTCTGAAAGAGCTCCTACTGAGTCAGGTTATTGGCTGGTATGTAACTAACTGCACTCCACTCATGGAGTGCAGTTTGCTTCTTTAGATAGGAGGTGTGAATCATATCAGGGCCTAGTGCTGACCAACTCTTCATGCTTCAGACCCTTTCTTGGATGTCTGGCACTGTTCAGAGAGGTTGCTGTTATGATCTGCTCTAAGATCTGCAACCCACTGAACATTAATGTTATGGATGGATTACTCCATCTGAGCACTTAAAGCGCTTTACACAACTTGCCTCACTCAGCCATTCACACCCAGTCACACAAGCAGTTTTTTTCTATGCTTTGTCTAAGTGCTTTCTATCTAACATTCACATGCATTCATAATCTGATGGATGCATCAGAGAGACTTGGGATTAGTATCTGGCCCAAGGAATTTTGGCATGCAGACTGGAGCACACGGGGATGAAATCACCAACCTTTTGGTTAGTTGGTGAACTACAGCCACCTCAGGATTATGGCAGGAATATGCAGGCAGTCCCTGGAGTATGAAGGAATTGATATCATGCATGATATCAGATAGTTAATCCAATAGCTAATATAATAGCTAATACATGAGCTAACAGGAAATGGAAAAGAGAGTAGAATTTTAAATGTCAGAAATAAATCTTTGATTTGATTTTTTTAATTTGAAATTCAAAAATGGTTTTTGAAATGAGGCTTTTATTGAGAGTTTTTTTTACTGGTATTGGGTCTGAATGGCTCTGAATAGCCACTTGAAGTGTTCACTTCACAGGAGTACTTTACTCCCTGGTATAACTCACAAACTCACGCCTTAAAGCAGCAGAGGTGGCAAAACATTGACAGACATTATGTATTTAAGTAGAGGTACAGATACTTTTGTCAAAAAATTACTCTGGTAAAAGTTGATTCAATTACTTTAGGCTCTGAAATTTACTCTAAGTAAGAAAGTAAAGTAAGAAAGTAAAAAATAGTTCTTTTAAGGATGTTTCTACCAGCAATTTTTGTGAAAAGCTAACTCAACCTTGTGCTATATAAATACAATAAAAGTGTGGCAGGCTGTGCTTTGTGGCTCAGCTGCAGGGAAGTGGTGGAGCAGCGGGTTAAGGGTGTGGTGTCAGGGGAGGCCGAACCACATAGCTGTCCTCCATCACCAGGTTATGCCTATTTCAGTGACTGAATCTACGCATCATCAGCTTAAATTCAAATGAATCTCTGCTATCCGTTATATAACCCAGAAACACAGCATCCATAGTACACCAGTATAACACATGGTTCTTTACTTTAAATTGCAGTTACATCACAAAACAGAAAACTAACCTGTTTATATTGCATTAATCTGCAGAGTATTTTCATGCAACCCTTCAATAACAAACAGTTTGTTATATATTAGTGTGTATATATATATATATATACACACACACACTCTCTCTGGGAGAATACAGCAACTAGTAGATACACTGTGCCACAAACTTCACGCAAAGAGTTTGTCTGTTTGCTGATATTTGTTGAGCAGACAGAAACATTGCATTTGATATTACCTGGCCTGTTACTTCCTTTATGTTCCTCTTTTTTGAAACAAACTAAATGCTGGAGTCAGTTTGCTATCTGGGTATACATTAAATATATGATTTTTTCTCTTCTCTTTAGGCTCAATTCAGTCTGATGTTCTAAGGTCCGCAGTCATGTTGAATAATAATGCCGTTTAAATGTCTCAAATCAAAAGTAAAAAGTTGTTAGAACAATAAATGTTGAGGTAAAGTACAGATAGCTAAGGATGGGAATAGAGTACTGGTTCTTGTAGAGAATCAGTCCCCAGTGGTTCACTTCCTTGGAATTGTTCATTCCTATCAATCGCCCTTATTAGTCTTACTTGCACTTGCAGCTGATTTCTGTCATGGTCTAGGTGAGTCACAGTATTTTTCCACACTGTCTGCTCTCCTTTTCGGGGCGGAGCAGTCATCGCCCGTCCAAGTATAACCACCTGGAGCTGAATTTGAGCTGTATTTAAGACCAGTGTTCTCCACCAGCCTTTGCTAGACTGTCTGCTAACCTATGTTAGTTCATGGCTTCATGTGTCTCGTGTTTATTCATAGTTTTCATACCTACCTTTGCTCTCGTCTTCTCAGGTGTTCCCCGGAAAATCATTCATCCTTGCAATTTAATTATTCAAACTTGCTTTAATAAATAATAAAAAGAGGAAGTGTTTTACTGGTGATTCCTCAAGGTGGATAAACAAACACCCCGTCTCAGAATTAAAAATAAATATGCTAATGCTAATAAAAACGATTTTATTACTTCTAGGTTGAATTATTGTAATTCGTTATTATCAGGTTGTTCTAAAAGTTCTCTGAAGAGCTTCTAGCCAGAAAAGTTACAGGACATTTCTATTGGATTCCTTTTATTGGCTCCCTGTTAAATCAAGAATTTAAAAATCCTCCTTACATACAAGGTCTTGAACAATCAGGCCCAATCTTATCTTTAAAATCATAGTACCATATCACCCTAACGAAGCAGTTTGCTCTCAGACTGCAGGTTTACTTGTGGTTCCTAGAGTATAGAATGAGAGCAGAGCATACAGCTTTCAGACCCCTCTTCTATGGAACCAGCTCCCAGCTTGGATTTGGGAGGCAGACACTATCTCTATTTTTAATATTAGGCTTAAAATGTTCCTTTTCAATAAAGCATATTAATTAGGGCTGGATCAGATAAACTCTGAACGAGGGATAATAAATCACATTTAGGCAAATGCTGTTGTGATTTGGCACTTTATAAATAAAACCAAATGGAAATAAAATGGCTGCACAATTGAAAAAGGTGAAATATTGTATAAAGAAACCATAAACATGTGAGAAGACATCTAAAAATAAATGTTCACAGGTAGAAACAACAGCCAGTCAGTTGTTTTATCTGAAATATTTCAATTCAGCACATCAAAATCTTTTAGCAGTTGGGCACTGTGTCTTCAGTGATGCTATTTTCTGAAAAACTGTTGAATAGTGTTATTAGCAATAAGAACTCAGTTTCTACTCCAGTCTTCTATGGATGTCCTCTCTGTCTCAGTTTGGGCCTTGAGAAAACTCAAAGCTAGTATTTTCACATGTCACATCTAGTTATATGCTGGACTCCAGGCAACATCGAGATTTCTCTTTGAAAACAAAGAGCTTTCCAAAATCTGTTATGCGTAATCATAAACTACACAATGCAATCATCTCAATTCTCCTGAAAATGATCCAAGGTGTAAAAATCTGTATTTATTTGTTACAAAAGTGGAACAACTGTGCACAGTTCAAGTAGGAGTAGACTGCAGACACAAATCAATCAAAAAGTACAACAGGCTTTTTTGGTCATTAATTAGAAAGGCAACAAGTCATTTGTTTTGTGGAAATCAACTTTAGTTCTAACTGAAAATGTTCTCTAATAGTGTTTGGGGGCATTCAGAGCAGAAAGGCCCACACTAACTTTCAACATGTAGAACATATAACACAATATTAATAAGGAAGAAAATGAATCATTAACATTCATTCATTAGTAGAGATCTCACGAGTCGGTCCGCATCTTGCGGATCAAACTGTTGTTTTACCCAACCAGTGGTGTAGACTTCTGTTAAAGCTCCAGTGATGTCTGCTAACTTATGAGGAGCGCTGAAGCTGCCTCTCTGATACAAGCCACAGCCTTCTGGATGTCTTCCTCTGTTTGTTCAATGGTGACCACCACTCTGATACTGGAGACATACAGGTGGAGCAGTGAGACACACTGAGACTGTGTAAAGGTAATGTTATTCACACAAACTATTTCAATCAAATGTTTGAATGCTTCAAACAAAATCACCCTCAAATGAAACTTTGACCCATCAAATAATAAAGCACGTACAACCCCAACGGGTCGTGGCAGATGGCTACCCCACGCTAAACCTGGTCCACCACCAAAAAAAGCTATGGACCATTGAGATACAAATGTATTACAGTACTAAACAACATTAAACCCCATGACAGAACTCATAATGTGCCAGGTGCATAGAAACGTAGGGTCTTTTACCTGGGAGGTGGAAGAAAGCGCTCCTCTTTTTCCAGATACCGAGCTAGGGTCAGAGCCACGTGTCTTTCCATACACTATGACAGAAATCATGGAAACTCGAT